TGAGCTGTTTGACCTCAGTTTGGGATTCTAACCACTTCCTGTTTCTGTGCTTAACTTCATGTCTTATCTTCCATCTACAGGAAGCTCCTTACTGTATTTCAAAATAAAAGCACACAGCAAGGAAAGCACTCTCAGCTTAAGACAGTGCAAACCTTCAAAATAAAAGCTATCAGTTTGTATATAGGTTAGGGGACTTAGGTCTGAGCAGCTTGTGGTCCAAAGATGGCACAGGCCTGGTCAGTATTTCTTTAATTGGTAGGAGGGGGTCCTCCTCTTGAAATCCCCTCTAAGTAGGCGGGAGAGAAAGCAGATCATAAAAGCCTAAAAAGAGCTAAAAGTGTAAAAGAGAAGAACATTAAAAGATGTCATGGTAGATTCAAAGTAAACAGATTCATTTGGTTGTGTTGAAGAGAAGGAAGCGGTCAGGTTTAGGGAGGCTGCTGGGTTCACGTTAGCTTTAGGATTGTGGGTGAGCTTAAGAATAAAAAGCAGGGAAGAGGACGATGTGGAGATGGATGGTTAGGATTAGGGTTCAGGTAAGTGGGAAGTTGTTGTTTCTTTGTGTACAGGTGAGGTGGAGACCCTGACCCTCCCCTGTGAGAGCAAAGAAAAGAATGAAATGATGCAGGTAAGTTTCTCTAACAGGTGAGTACAACAAGAATAAATGAATTCATGAATGTCGTTAAATCATCAAAGTTCACACGGTAAAAGAGGACAGCGTTAAATCACATGCAGCTTAGTGTTCAAAGTGTTCATGGGGTAGTAATAAATCAATAAAACAAGTGCTCTATGTGTCCTCCCTGTGGTGACAAACGTCCTGATTGGTGGAGCTGGTTTGCTGACTCTGATATATACAGGTGAGTGGGAGGTGGATACGTTACAGACGCTGATGCTGTTGTATCCTGTGCTGTGAGGTTTCTCCTGGAGCGTGACGATGGAGTTGTTGTGGAGGCTGGAGGCTTTCTGGATCCTCTGTGTCGGAGCCATGAATGGAAGTTGATGGTGTGTTTGGTTTCATGGTTTGTTTACTGCTTTGTTTATTGTTTACTTCTTGTTACAGGTGGGACATGTCGTGGTGATGTCAGTGATTATATGAGCCGCACTCACCTGTTCACCTGGTTTAGTCTCAGATGGAGAGAGGGGCTGAGCGTGGGAGCAGAACATTTCTGTTGAGCGCCACACTACACTGCACTGCCATCACAAGTTGATTTTACCACCCGGTAACTGCAGTTGTAGTTTCTTGTGTTTTGTAGAATAAATGACTAAAGCATCTTGGATCTGGAAGTCATTCATAACGACGTCACAGCTTCACTCCCGTCTTTAGTCCCTCGCTGCACTCTTTTCTTTGACGACCTGCAAAGGCCGATATAGACGCAATACTCTGTGTGTCCTGATCAAGCTTTAAATAAAGTGCTAAGATCATGCTGTCAATAAATAAAGGAAAGTAAAAGACACACAAAACAACATGCACAAAGTCATCCATTCATTAAAACAAGATGAAAACATTTCAAACTAGTTTTTGTTTGATCTAAAACTCCATAGATGTGAAACAATCCCTCTCACTGTCCTTCCACCTTTTGGACACCAGGTGGCAGCATTGCACCGTGGATAAAAGCAGGTAGGGGGAAACCGTGTTGTTGTTGGTGCACCAGCAGGTGGCGGTATTTCCCCGTTTTCCTTGTTGGCTGCAGTTAAAAGCAGAGAAACCAAACAACTGTCCTTCCGTCTTCTGAGCAGGAGATGGCGGCCTGAATCAAAGTTTTTCATTTGGGCCGTTTGGTTTCTTTCTTTTCAATCATTTGATGAACGTGGTTTCCATTCTGAGGCGTTGACTTCTGGACCAGTTTGTGTTGCTTTTGATGCCTTCTGTTTTCAGATGGTCTGCTCCACGTCTTCTGAAGTGCATGTAAACGGCCGGATTTTCTTTGCCTTTGTTTCTTTGGTAGATTTGTGGTCTCAATCTGTATTTCAGCTGCTTGTTTGTTTCTCCCACATACATGATATTACAGGTTGAACATGTTACTGCATAGGGTTAGAGTTAGGGTTACACACGGGATTCAAAATGTCTTTAATCACCACTAACTTTTGAAATGTAGCGATTAATGGAGATTCAAAATGTTGCTGGTTGGACAGCCCTCACATAAATATAAAATGCTGAATTATGAATAAATAATGAAACATCTTTTCAGACTGGTGGTCTCCTGCCGTTCATCATCATCAGGACAAACTAACGTTACTCTGTAGTTCATCTTTATTAGGAGGAGAATATGTGACCTTTAAACACAACCTTCAGTTTCTGTTTGAAGCCTTAAATGTAGATTCAGGATATTTAGAGCGAGGAGTCTCAGGAAACGTGGGATTAAAACTCTGAAACATTCTGAATAAACTTCCTCCTGTCTCATCAGATCAGCTTTAGAGTTGAAACTATGAAAAGATCTCACCGTTGATGTGAACGTAGGTCTCTGCCTCAGTGTGGTGTTTGATCTGGTCCTGTGTGACCACACAGCTGTAGTGGTCGGTCTTGGTCACAGTGGTTTGGAGGATGATGTCGTAGCTGCCTCCTCTTTCTGTGACCTGTGCTTCTTTAGCATGAAGGATGTTTCCAGAACTGTCCCTCCACTCCACTTTAGGTCGAGGAGAAGCTCCTCTGACTAAACACTGCAGCAGGGCCTGGTCCTTGGTTTGATGAAGGTTGGTGACGTGCGGCTCTGAAGCTGCTCCTGTGGACACGGAGGAAACAAAAGATTTCATCAGAAAGCTGCAGAATAGATGTTTCAGATTAAAGCATGTGGAGGTAGATAAGTAAAGTATCACAAAGAAGAAGACAAGCAATATATTTAAAAGACATTGTGAATATTAACATGACATGAAATAAACATTTAGTATTGTGGAGTAAAGACTTCATAATAAGAGAGTGAATTTAAACTCCCTCTGGGTTTGTTGTTCTCAGCTCTGAGTTCACAAATACGGGACTGCCATGTTTCCTTCAGCAGTATTTATGTCTCTTTTGGAGGGAACCCCTCCCTGTCCAACCGTACGCCCTGCCACCACCTGGAGGAGGAAGGACGGCCCTGAAGTCAGAACTCCAACTCTGGAAACTCGGAGCGACCTCAGTAGCCCGAGCTAAAATCCAACATGGCTGCTGCGTGCATCTACAGTAACGTTTAAGCTGAAACTGATGTAATGAAATCAATCACACCGATGGTATCGTGGAAGTTCTCTCTGTGGACATGTGGTCATGTGACGTTCAGACACAAACTATCACGTAGTGTGTTGTTATCAAACTAAAGAACTGCTGGAGGCGTCCATGTTGCTGGTCAAACTGGTTTTCAAACTGGTCATGGGAACGCGCTCAACTCGGGTGTGACGTCAATCCTAGCTCGGACATTCGACTTGAGAGGTAAATGGAACGCACCAGAAGTCGTACTACCATGTTGAAGAGGAGTCACAGCCCCCCCCCCCCCTCCAAGAAGCCGTGTCTGGGTGGATTAAAACGAGGGCGTCGTTGCAAAAGAACGACGGCAGGAGAACCAATGACGTGCGGCTCTGAAGCTGCTCCTGTGGACACGGAGGAAACAAAGGTTCATGGAAAGAAGATTTCACATCCCTTCATGTATCTCCACTTCTCTTCTTTTATATTCCTCTACTGTACACGCCTTAGTTTATCTCAGCCTGTCACATGCTAAGTCCCGCCTCCTGGGAATGGCTGTAGGCCAAAACAGCTGTCAATCACTCCCTCCCAGCAGACGTGGGTTGTGTCTCCGTTGATCAGAAGCCGTTCAGGACGACGAGTGAGCCGTCTCTAAGTTGAGGTTAAAGGTCATGTAGCCCTTCATGATTGGACAGTGAGAATGTGTGAGCGTCCATGGAGATGTAAGCGCTCTTTTCATCTCATACGGCTCTAAAGTGGAACATATGTGATGTGATTCTTGTTGGTTTTTCTGCTGCTATTGATATAAAAACATCTGAATACTACTAATATCATTTACTCTTATTTCTAATGTTAGTTATATGTCTACATCGGGGGCGGCTGTGGGTCAGTGGGCGAGTCGGTCGTCTCTCAACTGGAAGGTCGGGGGTTCGATCCCCAGCTCCTGCAGCCACATGTCCCATGTGTCCTCGGGCGAGACGCTTAACCTCAAGTTGCTCCCTCTGCTTCGTCGGCGGCGTGTGAATGTGTCTGAATGGATGAGTTAATCCTCTTTACCCAGCAGCCTCAGTATGACATCATCAGGTGTGACATCACCTGGAGCTCTGACCTCAGTCACAAACATACGATCACATCGACACATTTCAAACAAAGTGGACACAAACTGAACTTTAGAAAGTCGCTGGAGGTAGAGTTGATGTCTTTCCTGTCGTGTTGAATCGTGTTCCATCGTGTTCCTCGTCTCTTCTGTGACGCTGATCTGATACGGCGAGCTGCACGTGGAGGAACACGGACGCTGTGCGCTTTTAAAGAAAGTAGTCCCCGAGGAAAAGGCGGTCTGATGGAGAGGTGTAAATATTGACAAACACAGCGGACACTCAGGTTTCTGTGTTTTTCTTGAAGGTGGGACTTTTAGTGAAGCTGCTCCAGTATGTTTTCATCTCCTGCAGGTAACACGCCGTGTGGTCATAAGAAGGTCAAACGAGCACACGGTCAAACTGTGTACTGTCCCTTTAAGGCCTTTAGTGACCTCCATGGATCAAATGATTAAAGGGACGATCAGTGCATGTGTTTGGAGCTAAAGGAGGCTCCTAGTTATACTCTGTTTTAATGATCATGTCGGCCTCAGTAGATTCAGCTCGGACATGTTTCACATTATTAACACGTCGTCTCTTCTCACTCACTGAAACGTCTCCGATTCCTGTGACGGCACGCCGCTCCTTACAAATGTGTGTGTGAGTTTCTGAATGTGTGTGTGTGTTTGTGTGTGAAATCTTTCCTCCATCATAACTAACGACTGACTCGTTTCAGAGCACTGATTCAGTCTGAAGTCACGTCTGAGTGCAGCTCTCAGTCAGGAGCTCTTTGGTGAGCAGGTAACATCTGCAGCAGCGTCCAATCAGAGAGCAGCAACACGGTAACCATGGAGATGAATCCAGCAGGACCAGCTGCAGTAAAAACTGTCAAGTAAATAAGTTTGAGTTGAAGGTGTGAAACATTAAAGTGAGCTCCTGATCCTGTGTGAAGGAGCAGCAGGTGTTGTTTAGTTTTGCTCTTTTAGATTCATGTCTGCAGGAATGTTTTAGTTTGAAGATAAAAAGAGTTCATGATGTTCACACAGAGACCAGATATGATGACCTACACACAGAAACACATCATGAAGAGTTAGAATTAACACCTGAATGTATTTTTAGTCATAAACTATTCAGTAAATAATCTTCCTCACTTCATTTCGATTCTTTTTGAATTATTTCTGACCTCCTCTTCGCTCTGGTCATTTCTTTTGTTTTCTGAACTAAATAGTTTCTTCAGTTTGTTCCATCAGCTGCTCAGTTAAACCTGGTGGTTAGTGTGAGGTGATCATTTCAACAACAAGCTCAAACGTCTTTAAGAACTCGTCTTTGTGTTGTGAACACTTTTAATGTAGAGATGCAGAATTCAACTTTTTTTAATGGTACGGTAGTTCAGGGTGAACTGTGGGTAAGATGGAGTGTAGGAGCCATAATGTGTGTTTTTACCTCAGTTGATTATTTGTTATGTTTTGCTCCTTATATGGGTTTCTTATTATTTCTGGTAATTAGCAGTGGGCGTGGTTTACTTTATTTTTACCTGTGCATTTGGGGTGGCGGGAGGCTAGACAAAGGGGGTGAGTGAGTCATCGTCATCATCACCTAAATCATCATTTTTGGACCTTTTCTTTACAAATACTGTTTTCCCTTTTTGTTTTAATAAATCTACAAAGATATCTGGACTTTTGGACTTCTTTATATTTTCACACACTTAGTTTCTGTGCAGCATTTTTCTATCTTCAGCCGCCACAGAGAGTTTGTGTTTTTAAAAGATTTTAATTTAGTGATGCAGAAATTAATTGAAATGTTTTTTTACTCATGAGGGAAAAGTTTGGCAAACATCTAAAGCTACACAGGAGGGAGCAGACGTGTTGGTTAGAGGTGCAACAAGAGGTAGAAAAGAAGAAGAACCAGCAGGAGGCGTTTTGGATCCATAACTTTCAGACTACTGAACACCCGGTCTAAACGAGGACGTTCATTTTTCTGTCTTTTTGTCAAAGATTGTTGAGTTTTAATGTAAAGTCCAGTGAACACTGAACGACTAAAAGAATTCATGAGCTCATACTGTACAGTGTTCAGCATCACAAGTGTCAATAAGAAAAAGTCCCACAGACGGAGGTTGAAGTCTGATCGATGTGTATTTCAGTCGGCTCTAATACACACCAGGAAAAACGTTCTCTCTCTCTCTCACAGCATCCCAAATAAACACAAAGTGACTGACAGCTCAATCAGAACTGATTCTCCCCGTCAGCTGGAGCTCTGCAGATGTTTCCTGCTGATGGTTCTTTCATGATCGGAGTGTGGAGACAGATTAAACAGTCATGCCTGCTGTTGCCATGGTGATTTTAGACGCTGTCTGTCAGTTTGTGAACAATCAGGAAAGAAGTCCCTGAAGTGGGAGAATCAGCTGGTGCTCTGCGCTCACCGTGCAAAGTGTGTGCAGTCGTACGACCAAAACAATCACACATGAACAAATGATCCGAGCAGCAGGGAGCAGCTGATCGGGCCGTGACCATCACGCCTCAGTGTACACTGCTCCACTAACGGCGTGCTATCGGGCTGAAATGCGGCCTGACTTCAAATCAGTCGTACGACTCAAAAGTCAGGTCTAAGTCGTCCTGAAATCGTCCGGTGCACGGCCGGCTTACTGTAAGAGTTGGGTTTGAATCTCCTGTAAACGTTGTTTTGATTTGTTTTTGTTGTGTTTCCTGTTTGTGGTCAATATTTACATTTTCATCATATTATGTATAAATGTAAACATCTGCTCCACCTAGTACAACTTTATCTCTGTTTGACTTCCTGATGAAGGACTGATGAGTTCTTGTTTTTTTAAGGTCTACATGATGCCAAGTAAATAAAGACATTTTCATTGTTTAAAAAGCACAAAACTTCTCACTGTTCATTTTTCCTGTTTTCAAAATGTCTTGTAATAAATGTTACACAGAGCAAACGTAACTCTGAGGATCTGAATGGATAGAACGTAAAGTGTTTGTAATATTTGGGGATAAACATAACTGTTAATATGAAATGATAACTGACGAGCCTGCTCCTGAAATGTGTGAACTCAACATGAAGCTGTTTTCTAATCCTGAACATTTCACTGTTATCACAAACACGTCCACACTGACATCACTGAGCTACAACAAGAGGAACACTGACTCTGTACGTCTGGAACTGATCTCAAAGTCAACCTTCACACTCTTCTTCTTCTCTCTGTCCAGTCATCAAGTTAGTCCGTTCAGAGAGTCACTGAAAGTCTGAATTTCTTAAACTCACTTTGAATAAAGTTTCACTTGTGAAGTATCCAAACACGTTTCACATTCAGTCAGAACTCATTTACATTTAAAACAAAGAATGAACGCACAGAAAAACAGAAAGTAGAACAAGAAACATCTCACCGTTGATGTGAACGTAGATCTCTGCCTCAGTGTGGTGTTTGATCTGGTCCTGTGTGACCACACAGCTGTAGTGGTCGGTCTTGGTCACAGTGGTTTGGAGGATGATGTCGTAGCTGCCTCCTCTTTCTGTGACCTGTGCTTCTTTAGCATGAAGGATGTTTCCAGAACTGTCCCTCCACTCCACTTTAGGTCGAGGAGAAGCTCCATAAACTTCACACTGCAGCAGAGACCAGTCCTTTGATTGGTCGAGTATGGTGACAGACGGCTTGGAAGCAGCGCCTGTGAACACAAAGTACAGATCAGGGGTCGTCATTGGCCAGCTTTTGTCATGACAGACACTGAGGGGACAGGAATTTAAAATATGCTTGCACACAGCTTTCAAGCCTGATGTGAAGAAGTTGGAGTCAGAGGGGAAATGTAATGTCTCCCATTAACATCATGTGAGTATCTCAGCCTTGTGATTTTATTTGTATGTTCATGGTTTATTCCCCAGAGATCCTTTATATTCTGGGGGCCACATGAGAAGCTTTGGGGGACCGTATGTGGCCCGCGGGGCGCCAGTTGATAATCACTTTTATGGAGCATTATACTTTGTAATGAAAGAATGGACCTAGGTAAGCCTGCTTGAGATTTAAAGAAGGAATAGGTGTAAAAAAACAGATTTAGTCAGGAAAGCAGCAAATGGACCTTTTGGTAGAAAACAGCTGATCATAAACAGCAGATTTATTTGAGTATATTTCATGTTTGTAAGTTCATGAGCCTTTAAGGACAGAGATTTAAAGTGAACTGGTTTCCATGGAGACCAGTCACCTGTATGACTGGCAGGTAGGATGTATTAACACATGCAGGAGTGATTTAAGAAGTGGAAGTCCAAAGTAGAGGAAATGAGTATTTGTAGTCCCTGTAGTTGTTAAGATGGTATATCAGAGTTTATATTTCAGAATCATTCTATCAAATCTAAATAAAGCTAAAGCTTTGAAACATCATCACTCTACAGTTATTCTTTAAACAACATTACAAACACAATGAGTACACTGCTCTCTGGTTCTCAGCTTCTTCAACACACTTAGACCTGTCAGCAGGATCTGGACTCACCTTGGATTTTTTCAGGTGTTCTGTCCTTTAATCTTTTAGCGCGTGGAGGATGCATACGACCCGGAAATAAGTTGCAAAGTGAATGAACAAACAAACGACATGAATTATGGAATTAGGTGAATATGTATAGAAACAGGATGTGACTAGTTTGACAGCTTACATGTTCCACTTCTCTAACGATTCAAACACTTCAATGTGCGACTCTCCACATGTCAATCATACCGACTTACTTTACGGCAGACAACAGATAGTGACGTACAAACTATTACGTCATACTGCAGGTAAACGTGCATTAACAGATCAAAACACAAAGTTTTATGGACGAACAAGAGAACGTTTTGAAGAGTAAACTCCAGCGAAGAGATCCAGCTCGTTTGACTCAAAGCGGAAGTAGATCAAATGAGGGGAAAGGGACATTTGTGACGCGCGATCATTTTTACAGAAGTTCTAGAAACTTCCGAAACAACGTAAGATAAACACATTTAAAGTATTTACAAAAAGTTTGACAAATAATTGTCAGTTTCTCTGAGATAAGTAAACGCCCAGGAACAGGTCAAACCAATCAGTGTCTTTCTGTGACTCCTGAAAAAAAACCTGTCGGACTTTTAACTCCATCAGCCAATCAGAGGACAGCATCACTCCACCAGCGCTACTTCACTTTGATTGACAGCTACTTCTAACCTATGAGAAGTCAGCACCCTGAAACCCCTCCGAGTCTGTTTCCGGTGAAGTTACCTGTCTGACCATATATGGAAGTTAACGGTTTCTGACTTCCTGTGACAGTTAGTCCCTCTAATAAGAGAGAAAGTTGATTTATCTGATTAAAGAGACATCATTTAGTGATGTAGATAAGTTCATATGTATTTAAATATTAATAAAATGTTTTATATAATTACATTAAACACATTTGGACATTTTGTCAGCGTCATAAAGAGTTTAATTAACTTCTTTCTGTCACTTTGGAGAAGTTTTAGAGAGCTCTGTGGACACCTGCTGGACAAACTCTGTACTGCACTTTGTAAAATATCTCCCAGCCTGTTCAGTGTGTCAACATGAAACTTCACACACACATTAAAGACAAGTGGAAGGACAAGTCCTGAGAGTTTCAGCCTGATGGACGTAATAATGACGGAGTTTTCTGGATCTGGAAGATGAAATTAAATGAAACCAAACAAAGAAAATGTTGATTAGCAGCTGTTTAATTCTTCGTCTGTTCAACTCTTTAACAACCTTAATGAACATGGAGTCACCTGATGAAACCTCAGAGTGTTTGCTTTACAGTCATATAAAGAAGACGTATCAGCTCCTTGTGTTCTCAGAATAATACAGTTTAAAATGTGGAGGTAATACGAGACTAAAATACTCCAAATAACCAACAAACACCAAGAGGTTAAGATAGCACCTGGAAGGTAAAAGACATGAGATGTTAGAGGGACAGATGATCAACTTCACCCTGGAGGAAGAATGTAAATGTGCTGCCTTTATAATGTGTGTAGAGCTGAACTGTGGCTGTGCAGAGTGACATTATGGATCACGTGTTTCATGTCTGATACAAACTGTGTCTCTCCAGATGTGGCTGCAGCTCTGTGGGGATGAACACCTGCCAGATGTTTATTTGAAATCCACCTGGGACTCTTCAAACACGTCTGACTGAACCAGAAAACTCACCAACAACCAGCTCAATGTGGAACATTTGACTCGGCTGCAGACGAGGAAAAAAACAGGTGTAGTTTCCACTGTCGGCCACCTTGGTCTTCCTGATCTTTATGGAGGCGTTACCGTTCTTCAGCTCGTCGTTAAAATGTGAGACTCGACCTTCAAACTGTTTGTCTTGACCTGAAAGGCCGTGAGCGTAATAATCTCCTCCGTCGTACATGAACACCTCCTTGTGATCGTCTTTCTTCCAGTCAAACAGCTTCGTCTCGATGTTCTCCTTGGTGCTGAGGGAACACGGTAACACAGCATCACTGTCTTCTTTCACCACCACTCCACCTGAGACAGAAACACGAGGATGAATCAGTTTGTTTACATGCAGAAAAATAAAGTTAGTTTGTGTGATAATCTAATGTCAGTTTCTGATCATAATAATCTCACTGTTTATCTTTGTGTAGCTAAATGTCATCATGAAATCATTTCCACTGAACTCGGGCGTCTTCACAGTCGTTTACATTTTACTATGTGACACATATTCATCATATTTAACCATCTATCTCATTTATAAACCCTCATGTTGATGTTTCTGTCTCCTCATCCTTTTCTTTACACATTCATCTGATATCAAAGATAAAAAACAAACATGTCACACTTCTGAACAGAGACTAGTGAATGTTTACATCAGTATTCATACGTTTCTTTAGTCAAAGTGTCTCTGAATCAGCCGATTAAACTCTTTGAATCTGAGATTTCTGAGGAGAAGGAGGTGAAACTTCTTTCTCTGCTTCTTCTTTTAGTTTGATTTATTCTGACTCTTATTTCATAATTCATTAAAAACTTCATTAAACTCTGATACTCCCTCACACAGTGGACTCACATCCATGTTGTATTATCTGTAATTGATCATGGTCCATAATATGTGAGTGATGCTGCAGTTTTCTCTCTGCAGGATGGAGGAGACGCCCTCCAACATCTACTCCCAGAGAGACGAGCATCACACTGCGCATGTCTGTTAAACGGCTGTAATCTGATGACGTCACCTGAGCTGTGGAGGTTGATGTTTTAATATTTCTGTATTAATGTCCTTTAGTTTCAAACGGAGCTAAATATCGATGCTAACAGTCTCCGGTGCTAACGTTATCTCCCCTCCGCTGATAAACTTCCTACTTTTCTGTCTCCAGACTTCATGTTTCAACATTTTTTACATTTATTTTTCATCCATTTCAATCTCAAACAGTTCAGAGTAAATATGAGCCGTTACTTTTCTCACCGTTTTCATCAGCAAACGTTATTCCAGACCGAGTCACGACGCAGAGACACACGAGAGGAAGAAGCTTCATAGTTGTTGATCTGAACATTCAACGTGACGTCACTGACGGGCACTTCAGAGGACGCTGCTGTGACGTCACTAACACGATGATCTCCTAGCAACACTTTCGATGATCGTCCTTCAAAATAAAAGTATTATGTCGAAAACACAAACAATAAAAGTCTGAATGAATAAATAAAACCTTCTCACAATACTGTAGCACAATCCCCAACAAATAAGTTTGAACATTTATCAGCTCAATGAACCAAAAGTGATTTTTTTAAGTTTAACTATTTAGAGAGCAGCTAAACGGTCACTGTGTTTCTCTTTTATTTCTGTCTCATATTTTTGTATTAAAGTTACAGCTGAATTATTTTACATTTTAACTGCAGTAGATGTTTTGTTAAATAATTTAAAAAATGTTTAATAATTCTGATGGTTAACTTCAAACAGGAATTCATCATATTCTTTAAATTAAATGTAACACTGTGCCGTTTTATATCTTATTTTATTTTTATTTTACAGGGACATTGCATATTAATAAACATTTCTGTAAATGTGCCAGAGTTAGCCAAAAGGCTAATTTTCATCTGTTGTCCCTGGACAGATTTTATAAAAGGCTCCCTAAAATTTAAAAAAAAAAATTCAAACATTGCTAAAAGCTACAAAAACAAGTATTAGTAAAAGCACGTATCCAATAACCTACTAAAGTAACTGTAACGTGCACACAACAAAACAACATGTAACACAATATACAATAAACACGTAGAAATTACAAATTACACAAGGCCACATAAAAAACATTGAGTGAGCTATACCTGAAGCTCACCTCAACAGACAACAACACGCAGGACACATTCATTTAAAAAACAGGACACATTCATCAACAACCAGACACAAGGGGGCAGCAGCGAGCGGAACAGGTTTAGTGCTGGCAGATGTGGTTATCAAATAGCCAGTGTTTCAGATGTGAACTAAATGAACGATATGTGTTGCTCTCTCTGATAACTGTTGGGATGTTGTTCCATTCACGTGAGGCTGGAACAGAAAAGGCCGACTGACTAAAAACACACTTCCTTAGAGGAATAATGCAGTCGCCTCTTGAGACACCCCTCCTGAAGTGATGTGTGTTTGTTCATATGCTTACAAACTCTCTGAGTGGGGGAGGGGCCAAACCATGTGAGATTTTATAAAGGAGCATTTTTGTGTTTAATCATGTTCTCCCAGCTCAGGAGGTTGTATTTTCTGAGGATTGAACAGTGGTGGAATTGCTTTGGTTTTTTGTCTAAAACTTTTGTTGTCTGTTTATTCAAAGACTGTAGTGGTTTTAATGTGGTGTGACTTGCCTGAGACCAGCTTGTCATACAGTAGGTCATATATGAGAAAATCATTGAATGCATGTACATGTTGGCTGCTTCAGTAGACATGGAGTTTCTGATAAATCTGAAGTTGGCAAGGTTAAATTTAATTTGTTTACAGACTTTTTTTTACATGTGCTTTAAAGTTCAGGTTGGAGTCAAGTATAATGCCAAGGTATTTGAATTCTTTTACAATCTGTAGTTTTTCTCCTGACACAAGTATATCTGGATCGGATATCTGGTTTGAGTCATTTGTTTTAGTGAAGAACATACCAACAGTTTCAGACACGTTAAGTTGGAGACAGCACTGATTAAGCCATGCTGTAATTTTGACCATTGCGGTTGTTAGTTTTGAAGCAACTTCTGCTTTTGTTAAACCATGCACATATAAAACTGTATCGTCAGCATACATTTGAATGTTAACCTCAGGACACACAGATGGCAGGTCATTTACATACAAGCAGAATAAAAGTGGGCCCAGTATAGAAACCTGCGGAACGCCCGTGGACAAGCAGAGGGCGTCAGATTGATAATTAAGTATTCGCACACTTTGAGAGCGGTTGGAGAGATATGATTCTACCCATTTCAGTGCATCAGCAGAGAAATTAAAGGTGGGGTAACTTAGATAGAAGAACCCTGTGATTTACAGTGTCAAATGCTTTTCTGAGATCCAGAAAGACAGCACCAACAATGCCACGGTTATCTAGCAGTGATTTGATTTTTTTTCAATGAAGAAGCAATTAGCTGTCTCTGTTGAGTGGTTGGCTCTGAATCCAAACTGCATTGGATGCAGGTGATAAGAGCTGTTGTTCAGGTGATGTATAATTTGCTCAGCCGCCCATTTCTCTGCAACTTTAGACATACTAGGAAGAATGCTGATGGGCCTATAATTGCAGGGTGAATGGGGATCACCAGATTTGTACATTGGTGAAATAACGGCAGATTTCCACACCCTTGGGAATTCACCCTGTGATATTGAGAGATTAATGATTTTGGTGATGGGTTTGGCTAATGCTGCACCAAGATCCTTAACCCTTGTTGTGTCCATCCCAAAATCATCTTTTGCTTTTGATGGCTTGAGGGATCTAATAATTTCTGTGATCTTTGATTAACTAACATTTACAAAATGAAAAGCTGGCTCTGTTTTGTTTGCCAAGCACAGATTAACCTGCTTAGCAGAGAAGCTCTGTGCAATAGTTGCTACAGAATCGACAAAGTATCGATTAAGAGCTCCAGCTACTTCAGCTGGGTCCTTCGTCAGGTTTCCATTCAGGCTAAGTTCAATTTGTTTTCCTGCTTTGGTTTGTTGACCCAGGAGCTTTTTTAACTGACTCCATATTAATTTAGAGTTTCCCCTCGCCTCATTAATTATTGTCATAAAAGAATCAGCCCTAGCCTTCCTCAACTCTGCTATCACCTTATTTCTTAACATGGCAAAATGAATTTGTCGTGGAACAATCTGGTCTTAATGGCCATTTTCAGTGCCAGATCTCGCTCTTTCATCAGTTTTAAAATATCTGCATTTATCCAGGGAAGACTGTTCTTTTTATTCCTATACTTAAACTTACGGGAGAATTCTGTGATGACACTATGCACTTTACTTGAGAATATTTGACTGCCCTCCTGCAAGTTTTTTCCGAAGAGCAAATCATTCCAATTGACGCTATTTATAGTGTTTTTAAAACATTCCTGCTTGTTCTTAGGAATTCTAAGAGATTCATTCTCTTTGGCAATTGAGGGGCTAAATCTCATTTTTGTTAATTTTCTGATCACCAGAATAAGATTGTGGTCAGATATCCCAGTGATCATATTGAGAGATTTAGTCATTCTCTCAGGTCTGTTACTAAATACCAAGTCAATCTGAGTTCTGGTGGATTGGGTTATTCTTCTTGGACCCTTGATCAGCTGTGAGAGATCTAAACCATCAGTTATTTGTTTGAGGTTCTTTCTAGTAGCCTTATCTTCCCAATTAACATTAAAATCGCCCATTATTATCACCTCTTTTTTAAAATTGCACTCTACAAGCATGTTTTGGAACTTTTCATAAAATGCATTATTTGCAGAGGGTGGGCGGTAAATTACAATCAGGACAAAAGACATTTGTGGTGACAAAGTGATATTCAAGCCAATACATTCAGCTCACAATTTGACCAAGTTAATTCATTACATTGAATACTATCCTTCACATAAACCATGACCCCGCCTCCCTTTGATGTCACTCTATCTCTTCTGAAGATTTGATAGCCAGGTACCTCTAATGCTGCAGATGGCGAGTTTTCATGCAGCCAAGTCTCTAGAAAACATCCCGTTTGTCGAGCTCCTATGTTGAAACTATCTTAAACTTATATATTTAAATAATTGAATCAACACATAAAGCAACACTTAACCCTTAATCCCACCTGGAAGTTTATAACAGTCTTTTTAGAGTTAATTTACTGTAGTAAAGATCACTATTTTATCTCACTTCCCTTCTTCACCTACCTCAGTTCACTTCCTGCTCCTTCTTCACCTCTCAGAATTCACCTGATCACTGCTCATTTAAAGACTGCTCTCGACCTTCACTCTGAAGTTTGAACTATGTGTGTTTATTTCATTTTTGTTTCCCCCTTTATTGAACCTTTGACTTGAATTTAAAGAAATAAACCATAACTGAAGTTCATGCATCCTGACCCGAGGCCCATGGTGATAGTCACCCAATAAATTTGAACCCTTCCTAACATTTACATTTTCATAAAAGCCTACAGCGTGTAGTATTTATTTACACTGCTCACGTTATTCAGTCTGTAAAGTTTCCTCTTGTTATCCTCAAATCAAGTCAGAGGACAAAAGTTAAAGTGTGTGAATTAAACTCTGAGAGCAGCTGCTTTGTTTGTTTCTTGTCAGTAAAAATCACTTCAGTGTTCGACAGTCAGAAGACACAGTTTGACATTTTTCATGTTTTATTCAAACGTTTGTACAGAAATGAAGAAGCTCTGTGTGAAATGACTTGATACCTCCAAGATCATCATCATCATCATCATCATCATCATCATCAGTCTACAGCGTGAACAGACATGAACGTTGATGAAGTCAAACCTCTCAGTCAACAACAGGAAACAGTCAGAGTCCAGTTTACACCGGGCTCAAACTAAAGCAGTCTGAATCAACAGTCCTCAAACAGGTTAGGACTTTCTTTGTCACCATGTGGAAAACTGTCTTTGTCTTCACAACAAAGAAAACATGATGACAAACAAGACAACATTTTCTGAGCAGTAAAGTTTGGGGGTATGGGGGGGGGTTATGTTTTTTTGACTTTATAAATGTAATAATGGAATCACACTTGGGACCAGTGATTGTTTGTAATCATGGTCTGTGACTCGTGGCAGTCTGAAGCGTCTGAAACCTAAACTGGGAGTGCAGGGGATGAGAGGGGTCGCTGGTTAATAAATCCTGAAGGTTCTAATGTTCACTTCACACAGACTCATCATTATTAATATCAGTAACACAAAAATAAAACCTTCATCACATTATATTTGACTTCAGCTGCAAAATATTCACTCATCATTTATTTTCAGCATAAACTGAAGTTTCATGGTTTTAATTCTACATGTTGGTTATTCTGAACCTTTCAGAGCTACGAGCACTTTGATTATTTATGTTTACAGCAGTTATAAAGCACTTTGATTATTTATGTTTACAGCAGTTATAAAGCACTTTGATTATTTATGTTTACAGCAGTTATAAAACACTTTGATTATTTATGTTTACAGCAGTTATAAAACACTTTGATTATTTATGTTTACAGCAGTTATAAAACACTTTGATTATTTATGTTTACAGCAGTTATAAAACACTTTGATTATTTATGTTTACAGCAGTTATAAAACACTTTGATTATTTATGTTTACAGCAGTTATAAAGCACTTTGATTATTTATGTTTACAGCAGTTATAAAACACTTTGATTATTTATGTTTACAGCAGTTATAAAGCACTTTGATTATTTATGTTTACAGCAGTTATAAAGCACTTTGATTATTTATGTTTACAGCAGTTATAAAGCACTTTGATTATTTATGTTTACAGCAGTTATAAAGCACTTTGATTATTTATGTTTACAGCAGTTATGAAGCACTTTTTAATGGCACGAACACACACAGGGTTCAGTGTGTCGCTCAAAGACACTTTAACATGTTGGACTGGAGAGAGATTTCATATTGTTTTGAGACACTTTAATAAAACTGGAACTTTATTGTAAGTTAAGTTTAATTAGCTCCTTTTTCAACCTGTTCTATTTTAATTCAATAGCTGGATTGGCGGTAAAATCATAGAGAACACGATCAATAAGTGATAATAGATGCTACCACAGATAAAATCTAATTAATAAAGGTATTTGACTTTGATTTGGTCAAACACTAAAAAAGGTAAAAAAATAAATAAATAAATAAAAAAGACAAGTCTTTTACATAAAAATGTGTTAAAAGTCCATCACAAAATACAAAAAAAAAGTAGCTCGTCACAATTCTGAAATATTATGGAGGACAGATGTGTAAAAACTGGAATGGCTGTTTAAGTTTGATGTGTTTAAACTTGCTCATTTTGTTTTGTAATATGTCCTGGACATGCACAAAGGGGTGAATAACTTTACTACAGCTCACTGAAGCTCACCACCCATTAGTTAACTAGTCTCCTCTTTCCTAGAACTAAGTGAGAGCTCACTCCCTACCAGCCGCTAGTCTCCTCTTTCCTAGAACTAAGTGAGAGCTCACTCCCTACCAGCCGCTAGTCTCCTCTTTCCTAGTACCAGGAGCTTTGTAAAATTACTCCTCTAACACCTTTTGGAGGAGAGAGGACTTGTTATAATCACACAGCCCCAGGATTATCTGCCTAACATTCATTTCTAGAATAATTAGATTCAAGAATAACCCCTGGTACAGGACTCTAGATTACCCCCCGGAGAGGGAATAACTGTAATCTCTCCCTACTGGGATGTTAGGTGTGTATGAGGTGTGTAGTAAAAGTCAGTAGAAGTGTGCCGTGGTGTGACTGCTCAAGCTTACCTTCCGAGGTTCACGGGGTCCTTAAGGGAGACTCCAGTCTTTGTGGTGTGAATGATTTCAGTCAGAAAATGATTTCAAAAAGTTTCCGAAAATTTATTTAAAAAACTTCAGATGATATTCCAAATGAAAATACAAAACAGTAAAAGTAAAAATATAAAAATGTAAAAAGTAAAAGCAAAACACAAAGACCAAAGTCTAAACCTGAGAGTTTAGACACTTGAGGTTTTAAAAGATCTTGGTCTCAGAGACTAAGCCCCAAAATGGGGATTCAAAAGTCAGAGTGACGTGGAGTCCTTTAGAAAAGTAAAAAAGAACCTCGATCAGCTTTTCCACAACGTGTTTATAGCCAGACGGTCTCTTTTTCAAGATTCTGTAAAACCTCAACAATTCATATTCACAGAAACGTGATACATCCACAGGTGATACTAAGTTCATATGTGGTTTTAATGTCAAATCATACAAGATAACACAGGTGATACTAAGTTCATATGTGGTTTTAATGTCAAATCATACAAGGTAACACAGGTGATACTAAGTTCATATGTAGTTTTTAGCTTGAACCAGGCAGATTCACAGAAACGCTATACACCTACGAGCTCGTATATGGTTTTGCTCAAAGTATGGCACACTTATCCTGACCTCACAGGTGCATAGGCACCGCGGGTGTGTGTAGGATTGACAGGATATGTAAAAGCACAAAAAAAAACCTAAGTCGTATTGACTATATGATATGAATGAAATGACAAAAAGATTAAGTGATAATAAAAGAAAAATAACATATATGGTAAAAATAAATTCAACAGTTGCATAACTCTCTGAAGTTTGAACATTTTCAAACACCTGGAATAGAAGACAGGATATTCTGTTTAATTAGTTTGACTTTCTCTTTTTGTTTCTTGACAATGAATATAGTTTACCGAGTGCACTCTGATCCTGGAACATTTTAATTTACGGTGTCACGTAAGCCCACGCGGGCTGGGCATATAAATGTATGTGACACAACAATAAAATAAAAAAACGTTACAACTTCAAACTAAAGTTATATATAAACTGACAGAAGCAGACAGCCTGTGATCATTCCATTTTGTGCAGAAGAAGCGTCGATGCTCAGAGCCTGAAGCAGAAAGCCTGAGTTAACAAGTTGATGAACACTTTCATAAAGCCCAATACAGCTCTAAATACTCTCTAACTTTATGTTGAACTTGATTCAGAGCCACCCTCTGCCCTCCATGTAATCCAGTAATACTTAAGGTCACACATACTTCACAGAGTTGTTTTAGATGGCTGCAAGAGTCCACTGGAAGACTGAATCTGCATTTGAACCTGTGGGAAGAAAAACATAATTTTCAAGAATCTGACTGAGAGTAAAAAAACAGACTGCACGACTGAGGAGATAAATCTACTGTCAAGACTCTAAAAGAAGACATTTAAAGAGTTGTTTTTTATCATGGACATGCTGATGCAAATGATTTAATCTTACCTTTTTACGATTTATACAGTGACGCTTTATGCAAAACCCAGCACAACAGCCACAAAAACTAAACCAACCAAAGTAATTCTCAGACCAAAGATATCACGATATCCAGGTGAAGAACCTGAAACAGAAACAAAAAGTTTGTGTATCACTCAGAGTGTAGTTTCATATCACACTCAGATCAGACTGGACGTCACATTGGACACACAGAGAACAGCAGGTGTGTGTGTGTGTGTGTGTGTGTGTGTGTCTGTGGTCTCTCTGTGTGTGTGTGTCTCTCTGTGTTTGTGTGTGTGTTGTGTGTGTGTGTGTGTGTTGTGTCTCTCTGTATGTTTGTGTCTGTGTGTTGTGTGTGTATATGTGTGTGTGTCTCTCTGTGTGTGTGTGTGTGTGTCTGTGTGTGGTGTGTGTGTGTGTGTGTGTGTGTTGTGTGTGTGTGGTGTGTGTTGTGTGGTGTGTGTGTGTGTGTGTGTGTGTCTCTCTGTGTGTTGTGTCTGTGTGTGTGTGTGTTGTTTGTGTGTGTGTCTCTCTGTGTGTTTGTGTCTGTGTGTGTGTGTGTATATGTGTGTGTGGTGTCTCTGTGTGTGTGTGTGTGGTGTGTGTGTTGTGTGTGTGTCTCTGTGTGTGTGTCTCTGTGTGTGTCTCTGTGTCTCTGTGTGTGTGTGTGTGTGTGTGTGTGTGTTCTCTGTGGTGTGTGTGTGTGTGTGTGTGTGTGTGTCTGTGTGTGTGTGTGTGGTGTGTGTGTGTCTCTGTGTGTGTGTGTCTCTGTGTGTGTGTGTGTGTGTGTGTGTGTGTGTGTGTGTGTGTCTCTGTGTGTGTCTCTGTGTGTGTGAGCAGTGTGACGTCAGCTCTGCTCTGATGCTCAGTCTCCTCCTGCTCGGCTCTCAGCCTCCTTTTGGTTTTTGGCTCTCAGCAGTGAGGAGGCTGATGTTGGAGCTTCGTCCTGTTTCTGAGACGAGCTGCTCATCAGCACCGACAAACTTTGAATCCACTTCACACTGTTTACATGTGAGCACACTCTGAGCACCCAAAGGACCATCTTCACCTCCTGCTCGTCAACATCTGGATCTTTACACACATCTAGTGGCCAAAGGAGCCTATTTGGGTTGTTTGTTGTTGCTCCACCCCGGAAATGAATTACACATTTTAGCGCACGCGTCACACTCTGCTTGTCACTCACGGCGAGCAGCAGGGGGGCTTGAGCGGAGTTACGGTATGTGCACGGCTGATTTGTTTGTAATGGTCAATTTTTGTTTATTTGCTCTAAACGCGATACTAAAACAGGGTTTTATGGTTTACCATTAAGCATGAAGGTTCGAAGGTTTATGGAGACAATAACAATTTTTACACAATTTTAATACAATTTTTTTGCAAAAATCAAAAAATCTCTCTCTCTCTCTCTCTCTCTCTGTCTCTCTCTCTGTCTCTCTCTCTCTCTCTCTCTCTCTCTCTCTCTCTCTCTCTCTCTCTCTCTCTCTCTCTCTCTCTCTCTCTCTCTCTCTCTCTCTCTCTCTCTCTCTCTCTCTCTCTCTGCTGTGTCTCTCTCTCTCTCTCTCTCTCTCTCTCTCTCTCTCGCCCAAATCTCCCTTAAAAACTCTCTGAATAACATGTCACATCTCGTTTGTGCAGAAAATAAATCAAATTAAAATGAATGAAGATCATGATCATCTTTAGATTTTTGTTTCATGTTTGTTTTGAACAAACTAGATATGAGTTAGGTAATAAAATAGATGCATCATTTAACATGGCTTATAGTTTAAAGTCATTTGTGGCCCCCGTACACTGGACAGATCTTCATCCATTAACTCGACCTGAGTCCATCTAAGGAGACTATCGGCCCATCTGTAAATACACTTTATTACCATGTTGAGAAAACTATTATTGATCATTAAAGATATGTGAGTATTTATTCAGATACAGAGAAGATATTTTCAAAGTCAAACTGAACACTTGAGGAGATTGAATCTATATTAAAGATTTGATGAAATACATTTATAACTTTGGAGAAGTTTTAAAGAGCTCTGTGGACACCTGCTGGAGAAGCTCTGTACTGCACTTTGTAAAATATCTCAAAGTCAGTGTGTAAAGCTTAAATGTGATCCAGTTCTTTAAAAGAACTTGAGGTGGACATCCTGCAGATATCTGCCTCACAGAGTGTTTACTTTAACATGAACATGTTCCAGCTCCTCATGCTCTTCATATTATTCACTTTGAAATGGTTTGAAGAGACAGAAATGCACAAAATGGAAAATGAATCTCAAGAGGTTTAAACACAATCTGAGATACAAAACAAACCTGTTTGTGTGGAATATTATGGAGCTGGTAATAAAGACAATCAGATGATAAATGTGTTTGTGCAGAGTGATATAACCTGTACTGTTTAGTAAATATCAAACATGTGATTTCTGACTACTTTAAAAAAAGTTCATCAGTGACTCTTAAACCAGTCATCTCAGGAAAAATTTTTTAACTGTTATTTTAAAAATACTCACCAACAACCAGCTCAATGTGAACTTCTGAGGCGGCTGCAGACGAGGAAAATCACAGGTGTAGACTCCACTGTCAACACCTTCGTCTTCCTGATCTTTATGGAGGCGTTACCGTTCTTCAGCTCGTCGTCAAAATGTGAGACTCGACCTTCAAACTGTTTGTCTTGACTGATTTGTACCGTAATAATCTCCTCCGTCGTACATGAACACCTCCTTGCGGTCTTTGTTTTCGTCTTTCTTCCAGTCAAACAGCTTCGTCTCGATGTTCTCCTTGGTGCTGAGGGAACACGGTAACACAGCATCACTGTCTTCTTTCACCACCACTCGACCTGAGACAGAAACACGAGGATGAATCAGTTTGTTTACATGCAGAAAACCTGAAAACAGTTCCAGTAAAGTTTATTAATGGAGCATCAACATATTATATCAAAGAAACCTTTCATGCTTTCTCGTCTTTGTCCACCTAAATGCAGACTGACGTCTCTGAGTGTCTGAACCTCTAAACGATGTCATCTTGTCTGTTGGTTATGCAGGTATATTTTTTCAGTTAAAGCTTTCCCCACTGTGTGTGTTCATTCATTTTACTGTCCCTTTAAAAACAAAGTACCACTTGTTAGGTCACTGAACTCTGGGCCGTCTAATTTACGACATGGAGGAAACATCAGGAGCAAAGTTTTGGAAACAGGCAGCACCTGGCCAGCAAGGTGCTTAGAAATAAAAATAGATGGTGAACCAAAGTAATCCAAGACACTATGGTGCGTTGGAATCGTCATTTTTTCTGAGGAAGGTTCCTAACTGAGTGAAATGAAGCATTTAAGTGTTTTTTAAGTGGTTTCCATGATAAGAGCCGTTTGAATTCTCTAAAATCTAAGGAAAGGTGGGTCGATGCTTCCTTTATAACCTCCTTTAGGATACACTGGACCATCCTTTAGGAAAGGAGATGAGATATGACGTCCCACAATTCTTGCGGCCTCAACATTTAAAGCGAGTCGAGCATCCGACCGTTCAGGAACATTAACGATGATCGTAAAGTGACTCAATCATGAAGAGATAAAAGATAAGAGACATTTTTATCAGATGATGTTTGATTCAACATATTTCATTCTCTTCAGAATGTTTTGTGCTGCTGTACATTTGTATGTTTAAAACATTATGTGTAGGTTATATCTTACATTAATGTAACAATTCATTTCATCCAATCATATTGATGTTTGATGTTGATTTCTGATTGGACAGGAAGCTGATGGTTTCACTTTTTTACTTGTACTGGTAGTCTATATTTCTTTTATTTCAATCCCAACCTCGTGGTGATCAGGATTATTTCACCGGTAAGAAGCACAGGGGAAAGTTTTTTACATCATCTTTTTGTAGTCCATTTTCTGAACATTGTAGTTTCAACACGTCAGACCACCCAGGGGTACAAACTGATCAGGGATGAAAAAGGTGACATGGATCCAAACCTCCTAGCGGGGTCCGGGGACATGCTCCCCCAGGAAGACTTTTTTTAAATATCAGCTTTAAAATGTGAATTTACAGAAGATTTTAGCATTTCAGACTAAAGAAGCAGTGCAAACAATAAGAAAAACACAAGCTTGTTGATATCTATGTTCTGTTTTAACTTTTTGATAAAGCTTCAGTGAAACATGAAGAACCCGTGATGCTCCCAACCTTCAGTCCCTTTCTATACATTTGCAGAACAGGTCTTACCATGTTCCACTAAGAGCTGATGTGAAGGGCAGTCACTATGCAGGCAGCTCTCAGAGTCTGAGAGAACATCACAATACAGTCATCAAGGATGACAATATTTTCTCTTCTATCTAGGGTTGCCACTTTCCGAGCAGAAAAATAAAGGACACCTCTGGCAGCGGGGGTGCCAATCTGCAGGGGCCGACCACCAAGGGCCTAATAGTGGGGTGGGGCATCAGTTGTGGTAAATCATAATAAAGACATTGTTTTAATAACGTATTACTTAAAGTTTGAAGTACTTCATTGCACACTGTTTTTCAGAAAATATCTGCAAACGTAAAACTGTGTAAAAGCAGATACAACAATTAAATGCACATAACACAACTTTGAGTAAATGCTACTACAAGCTAGTTAAACCAAAACTTATTAACTTAGCATTAATTTATTAAATTAGAATTAAACAAATGCTTTGACACTTTCAAAAATATGTGGTGCAGGAGAACACAACAACTTTTAGAAAGTAGGAATAACCATAAAAAATAATCTCATCTCAGGATGGTGATGCTACTTGTGCACACGTGATTTCTTTCACCACAAATGAAAGAAACACGAAACAAATTCTAGGTGTGCAAATAACAAACATTAAAACTATAAAACTATCCTTCTGCCCACATCTCTGTTTACAAAGTGATCTGTTTACCAAAAATGTTTTTTTCTTCTATGTGTGGAGCAGTAGTCCATGCCAAAGAGTCAACGCCTTCTCTCTTCCTAAATGTGCTACTTCTTTTTCCATGTGTACTTCTTGTCACTTCTTGAAACACTGAGTAGCTGTTTGTCTTTCAAAACACTGCAGTAAAACTCTGACAGGACTGCTCAAAGTTGAGAGTGATCAAGAGCTCACTCCTCATAAGTTCCACAGAGCACCTGTTCCTGCTGTCACTCCATTTGTTTGTCATTCTTGAAAAAATCCTTTCCACGTATCCTGTGGATGCCCGAGATGCTCAGGATGTGGCTGATGATGGCCAGCATGTTGGGCAGGTCAGCTTCATGAAAGAGAGCCACCCACCTTGCA